CCGAGAGGGATTCCTCTCGGCCGCTGAGAGTGTACACTCTCAGCAGGCGGGGGATCCCTCTTGGCCGTTGAGAGCATACACTCTCAGCGGCCGAGAGGAATCCCTCTTGGCCGTTGAGGGCATCTTCCCGGCGCCGACTCCCAACCCCCCTGGGGTTTGTGGCGGATCGACTCCCAAAAACCCCCGGGGGGGTTTTTATTTTTTTCATTTTATTTATTTATTTTTTATTTTTTTATAAGGGGAGCGACTCCCAAAACCTTTGAAGGTTTTGGAGGTCCGACTCCCATGGACGTCTGGATGAGCGTCCACAGATGGTCCTCTCGACATCCCGGAAATTTGGGAGTCGGAACTCCAATTTCTGGGAGTCGTTTAACTAAGACCCTCTTTTTATAGCTTTATCTCAACATTTTATCTACATACATACAAATTTTAAAAACAAGGTTAAGGGTTTTTCCCAGAGATGATTTTACAGAACGGAAATTGATCAAATTTGGGGAACCCTTCAAGCCAAAAGAGGGGCCACAAAGGAGGCAAGCAAAGTTCCTGTGAGCACAACATACATGATGATACAAAGTTTGGAGAAACAAAAGAAGGAATTAGTTGATCATGTGAGTGAATAAACCAGGTTGTGAGAGTGGGAATAGAAGAAAGAGAGAGATAGTTTTTTGGGTACTTCACATTAGTTTTGCAGGGAGGATCACAATGGCCCCACGTAGACCAACCCAACCAGACCATCAACTCCTTAATCTGTTGTTTCCATTGACCGATCCGGGATTCGGCATGACTCTCCTTTGTTGAATCAGAGGTGACAAGCGAATCGATAGGAAGAGCCATCTCGACGATAGTCTGCGAGAAGATGCCAAAGATCGTCCCACAAAGGTGTTCCAAAGTCCCCTCAATAGCACCAATGATGACTTCTATCGACTCGGTGATTGGTTCTGAAGAACGATCATAATTCCCAGCTGTGAATCCTTTGGCACATTTTTGAATGCCTTCTTGGAGCCAAGTGGGATCCTTGCTGGTGCCGGTATCATTCCAGGACGAGAAATCGACATAAGGGAGTATGATGCCGTATGTCAAGCCACGCACTTCGACCACCCGTTCGATGACGGTCATGTCCTCCCGTTGGAGAAGGAACTCCAACTCGGTCAGTGGGCTGCTATAAGTCTGAACGATCGTGTTCACCAACGTCCTCCAATCCAACCGATCGGAGTCGATCTGCCAATCCTCGGCGTTCTTACGGGCAAGCACATTGAGCAATCGATCTTTGATCTTCTGGACATCATGTGCACTGATTCCATCCAATCGATGAGCAACTCGGGGGCCATTCACGGTCCCTTCGGCCTTCCTTTTCTCGCTCAAACTGTCAATCCGATCGTAGAAACTTATGAACCCACTGGGGTCTAAGATCACCCGGGCTTCTCCGGGCCAAAAGAACTGGTGACTTGCGGCTCGGTAGTAGTATGCGGGTCCTCGAAGATAGAATGGCGAGTTTATCGGCTCTTGTCGTGTCACGTGTGCCATCAAATTCTTGGTACGGTTCCCACTTTTTTTGATTTCCTCGTGATTCTCTGGTCCATGTATCTTGTCCGATCCATTTTTGGCTCCAAAAACCCTACCACAAATTCATGAGAAAAAAAAATCATCAGGAGTTAAAAAAAAACGGAAGAAATCAGCCGGGGGAAAGGTCCGGTGAGTCCTAAAGAGCTTCTCAAAGGAACTATTGATTCCTTTGAACTTCATCTTTTTTCGAAAAAGCTGACTCAACTCGATTTTTTGATCATGAAAGTCTTTCTGGATCCCATCAGAAAGAAGAGGACTAAAGGTATCAGTTCGATTGAGGAGAAATTCCTCCGCTGAATCGTTACTCTCAGACGATTTGATGGACGCTTGAGATTCTCTCGGATCGGAATAAGCATCAAAAGGATCGGTGGTATTCGTACTCCTGAGAAGCCTGTAGTGCAAAAGAAGCGAAAGAAAAGTCAGTAATTGGATTAGATTTCTATGTCAAATGATCCTTAGATTATAGAGGAAGCCCAAACATGAGGACATCTCCAGAGAGCAAACAAATACCCAACTTGACTCCCTGGGTGAAATCACACCACATCACTTCGAAACAAGTGTTCATCCGCACCACGCCTTCAAAGCCCCATTCCTTTCCGAGTTTACAAAGACCGCGGGCACGGGCATAAGCTTCATTAAGCAGCCGCTCGCCTGTGTCGGAAAGCTCCTTGGGGACAGTCCCATTGATGAGGACAGTTTGACTATCTGAAAAGCCGGGTGTGCCCAGAGAGGCGCTCTGGCCGTCGAGATAGATGATACGAAGAGGCCGGGTGGCAAGGTATGTATGTAGGGTGAGATGACCCGGTCGACGGGTGTGGATGATGTAGCTGTACTCGGGGTTGAAGGCAAGCCATTCGAGGCTCTGGGTGGGCGCAAGCACCGGATCGTTCGTCCCGTGATAGAGTAACGTGCCCCGCGGTACGACGCCCGGGATGATCGAGTGGCCACTATAGGCAAACGTGTTCGGCCATTGTTGGAGCAGACCGGCAAAGGAGGCAAAGATCAGGTTGGGATGGTCTCTGCCCAGTGCCGGTGAGCTCGAATCTCCCCCATGAGTATTCTCCGTCGGTATGAAGCTTAGCTGGCCACTTGCTTTGCTCTCTGCCACTGTCGCTTCCGGCCATGATGGAAATATCAAGCAACCTAACAAGGCTGCTAACTTGGAAATTCGCTTCACCCTAGTCGCCCTTTGGAAGGGATTACACATGACTTAAAGGTGTGCTTTCCTAGCCGAGGGAAAATGAAACGATAGATTATTGAGAATGAAGAGGGTTTCCTTCTGAACCGTCAAAGCGTTGGATGGGACTGATGGAACGGCGGGAAATGGCTGAAGGCCTGGACAAACTCAGCTTCCTTTTTGTGCCTCTTTTGATCTCAGCTCATGGCAGCCATCGATCCCTGTCGATCGACACACAGCAAGTCATAGAATCCTAAATATTTTCGCATGAGGTACTTCTAAGGTTCTAGCCGAGCTTATGCTTTATAAGACGTGTGATGGATCTTACGGAATGACATCTGGCTTTGCGCTCCAGAGTATTGGCTGCTATTGGCCGTCATAAAAGTTACAAGCGTCGGCACATATAAAAATTGGAACGGGAATTCATAACAAGTCGATGGCCGAGAAAAGAAAAGTCAGTCGTTGTACTCAGTCAAATACGAGAAAGCCTCTTTTCGCCTGGTACATAACCAAAGCAAAAAGAAGAAGAATAATCAGGGGAGATGGTCGTCGGTTATAAGAGGAGGAAGTAAGTATTTATTTACTTCACGCTTTCCTTGGAATACAGGGTCGGAACAGCCGACGCGTGTCCCACGTTGCAAACAAAGGTCATGATCAAGCGTCCGCAGACTTGCAAAAAAATCCAACAGACGATGTGATTTGCGCTAAACGTTGATTGCAGCAGTTCGGCATCGGGTATGGCCTTGATGAACTCTTGACGGTACGATCCAATCTGGATCGAGGGCTGTTTTTTTTTTTCTAATTTCCTGCTGTTGGCATTTCAACCTTTGTGTATATCAAAAGAACAACTTTTTTTGTTGGTGTTGTTGGGTTTCACTTTGACCTGCTGAGTTTGAGTGAATGGATCCTCATTTTCTTTGGCACCATCAAAATTGACACTACATACATACCACTCGCAGAGGATGTCTTTCCTACCCATGTTCTAGTGTTGAGTTTTCAACTTCTCTGGCTACTCCTCCCTAAAATTATCCCACTTTTCTCCATCTTCTTCTCACTTTCTCCTTTCTTGAATCTTCTTGAATTAGACTGATGGTAATTCACTGCTGGTTTTATGTTGAATCTTGTGCATTTTTGGAGTCTAATTAGAGCTATCATTAGCAATTTTATCAACAACTCCTGTCTCTGTGATTGATCTCTTTCTTTTTCTATTTCATTATTTGATTCATTAAAATCTGATTGTTACATAAGAATTAACAACTCTTATACATTTGTGGTGGTATGTTTGTTTTCTCATGATTAATTTTGCTAGCTTGTCTAAAAGAGACTGAGAAGACTTGTCCGGCTATTTCTTCCATGAACTCATGCATTTCTTCCTCTCAGATTTTATTCAAATCACTCTTTATTCATTTTCATTTCTACCACATTTTGCTCACTTGTACTTAGTCTATTTAAACCTGGCTTCTTACTTGTGAATGAAAACTTATAGGTTCTTTCATTCATTTTTTGCAAGCCTTTCCCAAAAAAGGACCCTGAACCTTTTTTGAGCCCTTTTCTCAAATTCCTCAAAAGCCTTCCCTTCTTGAGTCTTGAAATTGTAACATCTAGACTCTCCATGTATCTTCATGAAGGCCAAGCAGGACTTTTCATTACATATTGGAAACAACAACCAGTCATTGGAGAGACTTATAATCAACTCTTAAAAGCCACCTCCCTGGTAATATCAATCAACAGTTCTCATTCCCAATGGCCAGCATGTTAACCAGAAATTGTAGAGAGACCATTCACCACTTGGTAATAGCTAATCATCAATAAGCACTTTCAACAGCCATGTATGGATTGGTCATCTAAAGTTCTCTCTCAATGACTGTGTATATGAACTGGTCATCACAATTCCACTCTGTCTCAGTTTATGAACTGTTCAATGCACAGAATTAAACACATCTTAATTACCAGTTCAGAACCATGTCCAAAGACATAGAGTGCTAATCCTCATCACTGCTCTAATCTCCTTACCGCCAGGATCTTCTTAGTTTCTTCCAATATCCAGTCCTGTACCAGTCATGAAGACTCTGCCTGGATATAAATCAAAAATCAAGAAGTCTACATAATCTTGACTAGAAATGGATGAGGTAATAAACATTCCACGATAAAAGTGTCATAATATCATAACAAGCAGCTACCCAGACTAACCTGTTGCTCACAAAAGCTGCAGACAAAAATCAACAGTGGGATGTCCAGATGAATACCAATTTTTCATGATCTAGTCATTGTGGGCTTGAAGTCAGATGTTTATAATCAGTCAGGACTCAGAATCCCCCTTTTGTATCATCATGAAAAAAAAAGCATATTGCTAAGAAGAAATGGGGATTTTGTAGGCAGAGACTCAAATTATAATGATGAAAAAAAATTCAAAAGTGAAAAAAATCCATTCACAAAAAACCCCACCAAATGAGTGTTATTATCAAAAGCGCAAACACCAGTCAAACTCTGTCAGTTTTTCACCCCTAAAGTAAAGGGATTGAATAAAAAATCATTATTTCTTGTATGTATTCTAGTAGTAGTGATCATTCAACACCAAACATAATATTCTGCACTCAAACCTGAGCTCTCATTATTCCTCCTAATTAGTTGGTCAACCATCATGATCATGAATACTTTGGTGAAACCATGCTGTTGCTAATTTAGTGTTAGAAACAACCCCACTTCTCTTCTGACAGACAATTGTTTTGATGCTATAAAATAATTTTGAAGAATTGATTTTGTTTCATGAAAAGATAAGTAAAAAAAAAAACAGAGAAACTCATTTGAAGAGCTGAGCCCTAGCTTGATGATTGGCCAGGTGGTTAGGATTGACTTGTATGATACAGATTCCAATGATTCATGCTTGAGCTTGATTGAGCAACATTATGAGAAATCAAAATGTCTTCCAAGAGTCCTTGCTGCAAACTGGAAACTGATCTTCAATCTGCGGAAGTCCTTTCATCCAGTAGGCAGGCCACAAAGGAGGAAGACACATTTCCTGTTAAGCCATGTACATACATAGCATTTCATGAAAGGTAATTAGTGCAAGCCCAAAAAACACGAAGAAAACAAGGGAGGAAGGGGCTCTCACATCGGGTTTGCAGGGTGGATCACAGTGTGCCCGTGTTGACCATTGTAGCCACTTCACCAATTCCTCAGTTTTTTGCTGCCATTCTATAATTCGCGATTTGGCTTGTCTCTCCAGTTTGGAATCGGGACGGATGAGAGAATCGATAGGAATAACCAATTCGATAGTCTGAGAAAAGATGCTAAAAATCGTGCTGCACAGTCGATCCAGAGTCCCCTCAATAGCACCGATGATGACTTCAATCGATTCGGTGAGGTCTGAGACACGATAAGTTCCAGAAGTAAACCCTCTCGCACATTTCTTAATGTTACGGTCGACCCAAGTCGGATCACTGATGTTCCATGAAGAGAAATCGATGTGGGGCAGGATCATTCCGTAGGTCAAGCCACGCACTTCGGCCGCTTGATTGATAGCGTTCAGGTCATTCCGCTTGAGGAGGTAATCCAGCTCAGCCAGTGGTTTGCTGTACGTTTGAACGATTGTCCAGACCAGTGCCCGCCAATCCAGACGATCTGAATCTGTCTGCCAATTTTCGGCATTCTTGCGGGCGAGCACATTGAAGAGACGGTCTTCAATCTTCTTCACATCACTCGGACTGATCCCATGTAATCTGTGAGTATGGCGCGGGCCATCGTCGGTTCCATCGTCTCGCCGCTTCTGGCTCAAGCTTTCGATTCGATCGTAAAAACTCACAAAGCCACTTGGGTCTAGGTTCACTCTGACTTCACCTGGCATAAAGAATTGACGACTTGCAGCTCGAAAGTAGTAAAGTGGAGATCTGGAGTAAAACGGTGAATTCATCACCCGAGGTCTAGTAAGTACTTGCAGCAATGATTCCTCTGGATTCTCATTTTCTGAAGAATCATCATCATTTTTCACCCGAACCGTGGAGTTGATGGCTCCGAAAACCCTACAGGAAATCAAGATTGGTGTACCCAAACGTAGAAGTTAGAATGCCATACTGTATCATGAGCCAGCGACAGGCTAGCTGTCCTATGTAGAACACACAATGGTAGCATGAAGTTAGAATTCTCTTATATCATTAGTGAAAAAAGACTCAACTCAATTCTTTGCCGAAAGTTCTTTCCAACCTCATCAGGAAAAAGGGGATTAACGGCATCTGATCGATTTTGGACAAATATCTCGCTTGAATCGGAAGAAGAATCGGTAGCGTGAAGTTCGGTGACCTTCATGGATTCAGTAAACTCGCCCGGCTCGTAATGAGTATCGAAAGGATCAGTGGTGTTCGTGCCCCCAAGAAGTCTATGAACCCCAAAAAAAGAATGCAAAGTTAACATTCGGGTGACATTTTCTTAATTCAAAAACGTCCGAGGAAGAAGACCACATTGGGGGAGAGCGCGACACTGGCTATAAACAACTTGAATGAGAAAAAATTGCATCCAAATAACTTACTCGACTCCCTCTGTGAAATCACACCACAACACTTCAAAGCAAGTGTTCATCCGCACCACTCCCTCGAAGCCCCATTTCTTTCCAATCTTACATAGTTCAGCGGCACGGTCGTAATCAGCTTTGATGTAACGGCCACCGTCTCCAAAATGCTTGTGAACGGTGCCGTGAATGAGGACACTTTGACTGTCCATGAAGCCGGGTGTTCCCAAAGAGGAGCTCTGGCCATCGAAGTAAATGATTCTCAACGCACGGGTTGCTGTGTATTTATACAGATCGACCTGGCCGAGTCTATGACTGTGAATGGCGAAGCTGTACTCTGGGTTGAAGGCAAGCCATTCGAGGCCCTCGGAAGGTGGAGGGGTGCGATGATTAGTTCCGTGATAGAGCAAGGTGCCCCTCGGCACGACGCCCGGAATGATCGAATGACCACTGTAAGCAAACGTGTTCGGCCACTGTTGGAGGAGACCGGCAAAGGAGGCAAAGATATAGTTGGGATGATCTCTCCCGGGCGGCAGCTGTGAAGACTCTGTCTCTGAATTCTTAGGCGAAAAGCTCAGCTGATCGCTTTCATCTGCGATGATGGCGTTCGGCCGAGGAAAAGCTGTCAAACCGGCCAACAAGATCAGCGTCAGCCGCCTGGTGGTCAACGCTTCGAAGGCAAACATCAGTGGGTTTGTTTTCTGTAGGAAGAAATCGTCAAGAGGGAAGTTTTCTGAACGGTCAACGAGCAATAATTCCCAACAAGGAGCCGTATCTTGTGTTTGGGGTTTTTGTCTAAGACCGAAGGGAAGATAAGCCTTTCAACTCAGATATTTATGGCGGAGAAATTCCTTGTGAATGATTGATGGATGCGGTGGAGTGTGCTCTAAATCTTGTTCGTTTGATACGGAAACCCGGTCCAAACAGTTCTTGGAATTATGCCCATCGTTCAACCTAAAGCGGCTTATCCTGGCTTACTTACTCGTTCAAGTATTATTTAAAAATGATTTGTCCATGTTGTTAGATCATCAATAGCATTTATTTAGCAGGGAAGTCACAAGTATTTATATAGTTTCTGACCAGACTGGATTCGCTGTAGGAAGTGATGTCATACATATATGCCAGGTAACTAACTCCGACTGATATCAATGTCAAAAAAGTGTAAAGATCCACAGCGCTTTTTTCATTCTTCTTATCGTGATAAGATGATGAGATTTTGGTTTACACATCAAACAAAGCTTACAAAATTCTACAATTTGTTTTCATAACTATTCTGAAGCACATCCTAAGATGATTTCAATTGAATCTCCAGATCCAACCAAATTTTATTTCTTTCACGGCCAAACCAATTCTTTCTCCCCTTACGGATCCAGAATTGATAGGGGTTAAGAAATAGTATTGCTTGTATCTTTGAAGGGATCTCTTTCCTTTTTGTTGAAATTGATGCTCGGGCATTGTGCACAGTCAGTAGCTTTGAGAGCAGTTTTCAAGCTAGAGAGAATAGCAACAGTTAGCAATCGCCTTGTGGCTTAAGTTTTTCATGACCCAGTTCGCCACCACTTTCTTGTGATCATTCAGCCGTGTTGTGGCCAATGAACTCGAAAGGCAAGCAGCAAAATTTCCTATGAAGCTTTGTGAGTGGTCAACAAGCGACTATATTTTCAAACAAACACTTCTAGGATTTGACAATGGTTGGTTCGCGCTTATGAAAATTTCCAGGGAAGATAATTCGCGCGTTTTATAGTGCAGGCCTAAGTACTTGTCCATACAGGGCAAAGAATCGGTGACCCGCCAAGTAAGCATCATGTCATGTCCCCTCGATGCGCAAGTCCAACATTTTCTTGGTCTGTTGACTCCATTCAACCATACCAACTTTACCCGTCCAAGGGGCTGATTTGATTATGCTCTTGGTTAATTAACGTTCGATTGCGATTATCAAGGAAGGCTCGTAGATACCGGCGTGATCACATAAGATGACCGCGACCAGGCTTACTGAAAATGCCAGACTTTTTCGGTAGGAAGTGATGTCATACCATACGTTTCTACTGCTATTGGTCTCATCGGAAAGCCAGATGTTGGCTTACTTGGGATTTTCCGAGGCTTATGTTGTATGTAATGCAAGACTAGAGGGGATTCAGCGTGGCCCGTCTTTAATCTGAGCCTCCGATAAGGATGTGAAATCTGATTTTTTTTTTTGTTTACTATATTGAAATAGACCAACTTCATCCAGAAGTGACTACTTGAACCGCTCTGAGCACTGTCGGACTCATTGATCATGATTGCTCCGCAACTCATGACCGGGCCTTGTAAACCCCCTTTGAAGAACACCGAGCAAGGAAGCTCCTAATTGATCAACGGTATTTGGCAGGCCTTTTTGCAACCACTAAAGCTTGGGAGAGATGGGCACACCTAATCAATTTTCTAACATGTATGTGGAGGTTTTTCAAACAACATAAGATGGACAGTATGAAGTACATTTATTTAAAGGAAGCAATTGATCTCGAATCTGCCTCAGAAAGCGAACTATCAAAGTGTCTAGCCCAGACGTCGGCATCACGTTCTGGAACTATGTCTTGGTGGTTTGGCTCAATTTTACGAAGTAAGAACCGTGATCCGGTCAAATCTATCAACAAGTATTCTAAGAGGGTTTGCCCTTGGTTGGTGATGGAAATTTTATCTGGATAGCTGCCGTTGGAGACCTTCAGCCCATTGGGTAAATGGTTTTTCTCGCCCCATTCACCTCTCTGAATTTGTTGTTGCACCAATCCCGGCGTAGTGATCCACTCATGCTCAGAAGCTATGTGCTGTGTAAGTTCACCTCCAGCAGCTTGGGAAGAATTCAAGCTGCTCAAGATTGCTGCAGCCACAACTGAAATCCCAGCAATCTTCATTTTTTTTTTTTCTATCTGGGCATTGTTTGTGAAGTGAAATCACAAGAAAAAAAAGAAACATCATGTTGTTAGTTTGAAAGTCAGCACAACATCAAAGGGGTTTCTAGAGGTAGAAGTATGCACAGAAATTGAGACCAATATCATAAAGTGGATAGAAAAGATCTAGAGCCTCACACTATTATTCCAAACAATGATTTTAACAGCAGAATATGGACTAACCCAGTAATATGGAGAAAAAAAGATCTTGAATTGGCCGCTAGGATTGTTGTGTAGTTTTCTGCTGTGGTGGTTTAAAAGGATTAGAAGATGGCGAGATTGGGACAAAAGAATCAAACCATGCCTAAATTCCCAAATACTTACCACCAAAGCTTTTATTGTGTTCTGAAATCTGAGGGCTTGCAGAAGAACAGTACTAAACCAAGAAACCTCAAAATGCTTTGATGTGGAATGATTGTTGCCTGTTAAGGGTTTTATTTATAGACAAAATGAAAAAAACCAATGAGTGCCTCAAATCCCCACATGCTTTTGAATCAAAGTTTCACAAGCACAGAATTGAATACTGGTCCCCATTTTTAGGTCCCCATATCAAAGTTATCTTGAACTATGCAATATATTGTGCATTGTGGGGCTAGGCCTTAATAAATCCTAAACTAAATCATATCTTGTGGCTTGCAGGGCTAGCCTTGAATTAAAACTGCACCAAATCTTTTGGATTTTAATTTTTGGGACTTGGGATTGATTGGCCTTTAATTTTGCACAGTCAAGCTGAAAATGCCTCACAATTATAAACCTTATAAGAGCTATCAAAAATTTTAGTGGCTAGGCATAATACTCAATCCTATCAGTCAAGTGAAACAAGGTAATCAGGGAGCAAACTTTGTTTTTCATAAAGAGTCTGAATCTGTGGGAAATTTTAGGGTCTTGAAAATTTGAATTGATCAAACTCAACCCGATTATTCCATACATATTCAAGATTAAAATTATGTTTTTTGTGCATCTCTGTTTAACCTGAGAGGAGTACATAATGTTGGTGGCAAAACAAGAGCATGACTTGGTCAGCTGGAAACAGAGGAGAACTTGTGGGAACCGGTGGACAACTTAGACCACTGTCAAGAACTGGTTGCCGAGTTCAACATCAAATTTCCGGATCCGGTGTCAAGGCAAAAGAAGTCACAGAGAATGAAATGAGAGGGCAAGCTTTTTCCCACTGGGTTTTTTAACGCTGCCCAGGGAAAGAATGCAGAGCCAAAAGAGGAGGAATTTCTTTATTATCTTTTATCCATAATCGATTTTTTTAGATCAACAATGGGGGCGGCTTGGGAATTAAAGGGGGGATAGTGTTATGAGCTGTGGAGGACTGGAGCCGGGGATGCTACATATGTAAATAGTCTGTTACGCACATGTCACAAACTCCCAACTTGGAGTTTGTTCAAGATCCACACCTTGTACATCCCTCATCTTGAAATCTACCATCAAGAACCAGAACCCTGAAGATCCTCACCTGCTCTCCCCAGAACACCCCTAACAATGCTAGGCATCAGCGGAATTCTGCTAAGTTATGCTATGCTCACGCTACCATCAGTGTTGTGGGCCCATTTTTGATACCAAGAAATAAGGCCCCTTGGAGAGTATATACTCCACAGGATTTGTTTCAACATGCAAGAATTGGGAGAGTTGGGCAAACCTGACTGATTCTTTAATTTTTATGAGGGGAGAGGGGAGGGGGGTTCCAAACAACATGGTCAGATAGATAGATGTATGAAATGCATATATGTAATAGAAGCAATTTTTATCACATTAATCTCCAAAAAAGATATATCAATTTATGGGGGCAAGCTAATTCTCCTAACCCAGAAATCAGCATCATGTTCTGAAACTTTGTCTTGGTGGTATGGCTGAATTCTACGACTAAGAAACTGTGACCCAGTAGAATCTATCAACAAGTATTCCAAGACGCTTTGCCCCTGGTTGGTGATGAAAATGTGATTTGAACGGTGGGCCTTGGAGACCCTCAGACCATGATTGGAAAAATAAATTTCCATGTTGTTTGTGTGATGATATTGTTTTTTCTCACCCCATTCACCTCTCAAAGTTTGTGATTGCATTACTCCTGGCCCATGAATCCATTCATTCTCAGAGACTTCATTCCGTGTAAGCTCAATTCCAATAGGCTTGGAACAATTCATCCCACTCAAGAATGAAGCCACCATCAAAATCCTGGTGAAGTTCATATTTTTCTATCTAAACAAGGTTTGAAGGGAAATCACAATAAAAAAAAGTGATGTTTTTAGTTTGAAATTCATTAAAAAAATATAAAAAGTTTCTCTAGATGTGGGGGTGTGTATATGAATTCATGAATTGAGAGATGTATCCCAAAGTTGATGAAAAAGATTTAGAGCCTCACAATGATATTCCAGATAAGGGTTTAAAAGCTGAATATATGTTGACCCAGTGATGTGGATATTTTTTTGGCTCTTGGACTGAGAAATATTATCAGTGTGAAGTTTCCTGCTGTGATGGTTTGACAAGTTTATCAAATGTCAGCATTGGGGCAAAATTATGAAGCTGTAACCAAAGGGACAAAGACCTACAAGCTTTTCTTATATTGTAAAATCTGATTTGAAGTGGTGGATTAGAGAAGCATACTAAGCCAAAGATACTTAAAACACTTTGATGTGAAATTGTTGTTACTTCTTGGGTATTATTTATAGACAAAATGAGCAACCCAACAAGTGCTGTCAATTCCTGTGTTGTTTTGAATCAACTTGTCACAAAGACTGTATTTAACAATGGTCCCCATTTTTATTTCACCATAACAAGCAAACAGAGGCATCCTGAGCTGTGCAAAATATTGTGTATTGTGGGGCTCTCAATCAATCCTAAATGAACCATATCTTGACATATCTTGTGGATTGCATGGCTTGGGCTTGATCATGCTTTAAGTGTGCACAGAAAGACCAAAATTTCCCCACAAGTTTGTGCCTCAGATCTATCAATAACTTTATCAAGTGTCTAGGCAGCATACTCAAACCTATGAGCCAAGTGAAACATGGTGATCAGGCCCTGATTTCCATTGTTTGTCATTTGTTTCATGTTTGTATTGATTAACTGAAAATTAGATTCAGTTGACTACTCATAGCATTTTGGTGCACTGTTTTTTCTGGTCTATTTATTGGGTATTTTCAAACAGTGTTATTCTTAAGAATGACTTTGTGTTACATGAAAACGGCTTTGTGTCCCATGAACTTCCATTGGTGCCAATGAAATTGGGATGCCCTCTCTGTAATTTTGAAAAATGTAAATCTGCACAAAGCTATATTTATAAGGGAAGAAACTTTTTTCAATTCCCAACCTGTTGACTTTCCAAGAGGAAGCTGATTCTGGAAAATGCCAATGAGTGGTGGAATCTGTGGTTGAGCAAACTTATAGGTCAGATAGATACATTACCAGTCATTGAAGCTTGGAGCTCCTACTTCTAATTGAGCGGATGGTGGGAAAAATTATCCTTACCGTTGGATCAGCGCTGTTGAACCTAATTGACACCTGGTGATTGCTAAAATAAAGAATTTGAGGGAGGTTCACCCAGTGCAAGAGATGCAGGGAATGATGGGCAATGAAGCAGTGGAATACAAGGGGACAGAGGTTCTATACTTTTCTGGTGACCCAGTCCCTGAAAACTGTTATAGATGCAACCAATGGTGGGAATTTACGTTGGCGATAATGCTAACGTAGCAATAACGTAATGGCATTGGCACCGTTATTGCTATGATAGCTGCAACGGCCCTGCTGTTACGTTATCTTTTGTTCATTTTTTTCTTTTCATTTCCGTTACATTATCCACCCCATAAAACCGGTGGATATCAAACACATGAGGAGGGTTTTTGACCCGTTCTTCATGGGATTTGCCACAGATAATGCGGAAAACGCGTTATCCGCATTGATTTTCCATGTAAGAAGTGGTAAAAGAGTCCTTGATATGTTGCTTGAGCCTCAAGAATGTAGGTTTCCTGGATAATGATAACTTGTTATCCGGTAATGCTGGGAAGTTATGTTACAAGAATCCGTTTGGATATTGTAACGTAAGTAACTTCCCATTGTTGATGCAACAGCTTGTGAAAAAAAGTCTTTGGTAAGCAGAAAAATATATCTCCCAGTCCTTAACCTGTCCAAACCAATATGTAGTTGCTCACTTATGCGAGGCAATGAATTTTCATGAGCCATCTCAACAGCATTTACCAAAGCTCAAGTTACTGCAAACCAGTTTTTCCAAAAAGAGATGGCAAGTGCATCAAAAATAATAAGACACAAAACTGAACAGAAAGTGGAAATTACTACACAAAGATTTTGCCATGTGATATAAAAGGATAGTATCGGGCTTATAAGCTTCACTTTGGTATCTTTTTTATTTGAGTTGAAATTCTTCAAAGTACAATTTTCACTAGAAATTTATCTATGTCTTTTTTGACATATCTATCTGAAATCTCTCAGTCTTTCTTGATTGATCTAAACATGTGATTTTGATTATGAAATGAATTGGGTAGAATCATTTCCTCTTTAAGAGGCTGTTTGACATTTTTTATCCATCTGGTCATCTTCTAATGTACTTTCAAGTCATGACATTCAGTGTGGAGAGGAAATGTTAAGACAGATGGGGTACTGATTGGTAATATTGGTGAAATCCTTGCCCCTAATGTAAGGCCACATAGGCGGCATACAGATTTCCTGATCAAGTACAATAGGTATTCAGAGTGGTATATATATAGTAAGTGTTGAGATGTCTAGGTTATAGAGGGAAATAACGAGATTGTGGGGGCTTACATTAGTCTTACAGAGAGGATCACAGCGCTCCCAAGTCGACCAACCAAGCCATTTCTGGAGACCTTCAATCTGCTCACGCCATTCTGGGATTTTGGAGCGAGCTTGATTCTCGAGTGTCGAGTTGAATTAGCTGTACGTCGGCTCAACAGGAAGAAACATTTGGATGGTTTGGAAAAATAAGGTATAGATCGTCGTGCACACTCGTTTCAAAGTGCCTTCGATAGCCCCAATGATCAGCCGGATAGAGTGAGTGAGATCCGAAGGAAGCAGTGGTGTGGAGGTGTAGTAGGTTAAACATCTGTGGATCCCCTCGGAAATCCAGTCTCGCTCGGGTGAGCTCCAGTGTGAGAAGTCGAGCGAAGGCATGAGGATATCGTAGGTCAACCCACGTACTTCGATGGCTTGTTCTGTGGCATTCAGGTCTTCCCTATTGAGGAGGTATCGTAGCTCGATTAGCGGTTGACTGTACCTCTGGATGATTGTCAAGACTAGAGCGCGCCAGTCTGGTCGGTGGGAATCGATCTGCCAGTCCTCGGCCTCCTTCCTTTCAAGAACCTCGATTAACCGAGCTTGTACCTTCTTTGTATCATGGGCACTAATCCCATAGAGCCGATGTCGGGCGCGTGGACCTTCGCTCGTCCCTTCTACCCGTCGCTTTGCATCCAGACTCTCTAGACCATCGTAGAAAGATATGAAGCCCATCGGATCCAAGATCACTCGCACTTCCCCAGGCGCGAAAAACTCCCGAGCACCAGAGTGGGCATAGGTCCATCGCGCTCTTGCAAAGAAAGGCGGATCTGCGGAATCCGAAATTGCACTTTGGTCACGCTCAAGAGAGTTTGTTGGTACATCGGAATCCCATTGGTGCTTGTAATAAGGGTCTGTAGCGTTGGTCATATTCAGAAGTCTATTGTCAAGAAGAAAAATATTGATTAAAAATGGAACATGAAATTGACATGAGGTAGAGGACAATTGCCAAGAAAACAGGCAAGAGAAAAAAAGACTCGACTCAATGCCATTTTTGAAGTCACACCATAATAATTCGAATGAGGTGGCCATTCTAACGACACCTTCGAAGCCGTATTTCTCACCCATCTTACACAGCGCAACAGCACGAGCAGTTTCGCCGGTGGGATCATGTCCGGGATCTGGATTATCCGGAGGAATTGAAGCGTCGATGATAATGTACTGAGAGTCCATGAAGCCAGGTGTACCGAGAGAAGCGCTTTGGCCATCAACATAGAGCACCCGTAAGGGGCGGGTAGCCGCGTATTTGTAGAGATCTAGCTCTCCACCTCTATGACTAAGGATTGAATAGCTCATCTCGGAATTGAAGGCCAGCCATTCGATTCCCGTTGGTGGCCCATTGATATTGTTTGTAGCATGGTAGAGCAGCGTCGAGCGCGGGATCAGTCCGGGGATGATTGAGTGGCCACTGAATGCAAACGAGTTGGGCCATTGTTGCAGTAGACCTGCGAATGAGGAAAAGATCAGGTTGGAGTTTTCCGTCTTGTAAGCAGAAAAGTTTGAGGATGATAGAGCGATTTGCTCCCGTCCCGTTCGAATGGCTCTTGTCAGGGTTGAGACCAGCCAGAAAGACCCCAGGAATCTCAATAGAACGCCTTGAAGCTTCATCACTGGCTATGGCTTGAGAAAGAATATTCGAGATAAGACCTTGGTTGACAATATTTGAGAACCTTTTGAAGATTCGATTATATGTGCTGAAGGCGAGTGCTTAGGAGAGATATTGCTACTCCCAGCCTTCTGATTGCTGGATCCCTCCAGAGAACTTTTCGAAGGAGTTTTATATTTTAGTTTGCCCTAGCTTCGCAAAGGTAGAAAGCATCTCTTTACGACTTGCGGGCTTCCGATCATTGGGTTCCTCAATCTCGGTTGCTCTCCTCTCTACTGCCTGTTTCTGAATGAGTCAAACGCAATTTTCGGCTAACACCTCGGGTGCACTGCCGAAAGTTAACATCCGTTTGAGGAACATTGCTCTTCTAACCAAACAACAAGAAGTTTGGGTTCAAAACGTATTGTAGGAAATTGAGGTCAAGTACTTTATTGCAACTAATATCCAAAAGCTAATAGTAGTAAAGCACTTAGAACAATAAGAAGAAAAGATTAGAACAATAAGAAAAAATGATGAGAAGAGGGAAATGAATTCTTCATGTACCTTCAGATATTCTTGTCCTGACTACGACTCAACACTTAGATGCACAAAACACTTATTAGGAGAAATTGAAACAACAACAAGCCTCCACTTGTGTTATGACTGAGCTCCTCCTGAGTTTCGTTGGTCTTAAGCGAGTGGTTAGGCAGTACAAGAATTTTGCAACTTGGGTGTGTATCGATAGGTGATTAAGGGACTGAAAGCGGATAGTGAATGGGGATGAAGAAAGTTTGAGATCGGCAATTCGCTTCTTGAGGGACCTAATTGTTGGAATTTCATCTCTTTTTCTTCTCATCCCTAAAAAACTCATCTATCCCACTTTTAAATTCAACATGATTTCATAAATAATTAACATGATTTTTACTTTGTTTTTGATAGTTTCTGCGTGATATTTTGTTATGTTGTCTAGTGCTGCAATCCTTGTAGTCTTCGAACCCAGGTCTAGTCTTTATCAACTCACACTTATTCCAGACATCTTTTCAAGCATATGTTTATCTGTTTTATTCATTTTGATATTCATTTTTCTCAACCACATGTTTGACCACTTGTATGTAGACTATTTAACGCGTAGTCTCCTCTAAGTAAAAAAAACTCATTGGCTCTTACCCTCTTTTTCCGACCCATGAGTCTTTCCAACAAAAAGTCACTTTTTTTGTTGCCCAAGAATTTTTCTCTTCTCTGAAAACTCTCCACCTCTCCGGCAAAAATTTCATCACGATTAACAGTCGAAAGACCTGTTAAAACAAACTCTTCTCCTGCTCAGATCCCATCTACAGTCTTGACATGGCCACCGAAGTTATCCGCGAGACCAAAGTTCTCTTGACTCCTAACAACTACGCCCTCTGGTTATTACCAATGGAGGCAAGACTCTTCAGATTAAAGCTGCTCGACATCCTCGAAGGACAAGTTCAACCCGATGAAAAAGAACAAGAAAAATGGACTAAACTGAACAACGACGCTTATGCTGAAATCATAGCGTACATCGGTCAGGAAGTACTCGGATTTGTTAGTTCTGCTCTACCTGCAACCCCTCGCTTCAATGGCCGTGGTCTCTGGAAGCTGTTGAAATCGCAATATGCCGGCGATGATCTAACCTCGCAAACTACAGCACTCGATCAATTTTTACATCTTGGTTTCTCCTCCATCGCCACTTTCATCCCTGCCGTTCGATCAGGGAATCAAAAGATATCTATGTCTGGTCTTGTCCTCGATGACCGTGTCCAAACCATCCTAATGCTCAAGAAGCTACCGTCCGACTACCGCTTGTTCCGAGATATTGTCTCGATGAACTACGGTACTGAGTCCTTCGAATCTGTCATCAAAAAGCTTGAAAGTTATGTAGCTCAAAATGACCTCGACAAGAAACCATCGTCGACTTCCTTGACTCCGCCACAATCGCTTCTCACTCGATCGAACGATCAAGCTGCATCGAGCTCGACTCTCTGCGATCATTGCAAGAAACCCGGGCACCGCATCAACAACTGCTGGGCTAAGTATCCAGAGAAAGCCCCCAAGTCTCACTCAGCTCACATGACGGTTCAAGACAACTTCAACCAACTCAATGATCCAACCGATTTCTCTCGCTTCAGAACAGCCGACGGCAAACTACATCACGTCGACGAAATGAGGTTTGAAGGTGTCCAATACTTCAATACATAGCCAACCTCACTTTCTCAATCTTCATTTCTCATCTCCGTCAAACAATTATTTTTTTCACTCTAAGGTTTTTTAGGTCTGAGCAGCGGGGGGTGTTGGAATTTCATCTCTTTTTCTTCTCATCCCTAAAAAACTCATCTATCCCACTTTTAAATTCAACATGATTTCATAAATAATTAACATGATTTTTACTTTGTTTTTGATAGTTTCTGCGTGATATTTTGTTATGTTGTCTAGTGCTGCAATCCTTGTAGTCTTCGAACCCAGGTCTAGTCTTTATCAACTCACACTTATTCCAGACATCTTTTCAAGCATATGTTTATCTGTTTTATTCATTTTGATATTCATTTTTCTCAACCACATGTTTGACCACTTGTATGTAGACTATTTAACGCGTAGTCTCCTCTAAGTAAAAAAAACTCATTGGCTCTTACCCTCTTTTTCCGACCCATGAGTCTTTCCAACAAAAAGTCACTTTTTTGTTGCCCAAGAATTTTTCTCTTCTCTGAAAACTCTCCACCTCTCCGGCAAAAATTTCATCACTAATTGAATTTGGTTTTGAGATCAAAATTTTTTTTTCATATTGAATATAGGGCACCGATGTGGGTCTATGCATCGTACACCTGCGCAGCCGGAACAACTCAGTTGACACTCCTCCTTGGTTCTGCGTTAGTTAGGTGTAATTGCTCTCGAGATCCTTCAAGCTTGATGAATCCCAGGGGTTTGGTCAAACCATCGGCAATCATGTCATGGGTAGATACTTGTAACATAATAACCTGTTTGTTCACTACCAACTGCAACACATATTGAAATCGAACCTCGATGTGCTTTGTGTTTTCATTCAACTTTGCTTCCTTACTGATAGTCACTGCTCCAGAATTGTCATTCTTCAGTATTGGGGTCTTGATTTTTATATGAAGATTGAGAATCAAATTTGTAAGCCATCGTAATTGCTTGGCACATCGGTTAATCGCCACGAATTCTGCTTCTGTAGTTGACTGAGCCACTATAGGTTGTTTCTTGGTGGACCAACAGATTGGGTTTCCGTACATTGTAATCACATATCCTGAGGTTGAGTTCTTGAAAACCAGAGATGTTGCGTAGTCTGCATCAGCCCATCCACAAAGACCTTCTTCCGGATCTGAAGTTTGAGTATAGTGAATACCCATTACTGAGGTGCCACGGAGATACCTTAACAGATGTTTTACTGCTGACCAGTGAGATTCGTTGGGTTGACTCGTGAATTGAGCCAGAAGATTGGTAGCAAAGGTTATATCAGGTCGAGTGTGTAAGGCCAGATAGTTTAACATTCCAACAGCCTTCTGGTACAACTTCTGATGAAACGGGGGGCATCAGTCGCAACTATTTTGTGTAAATTCATTGGTGCCGGCGCTCTGACTGGATTCAAATCATGCATGTTGAAGTCGTATAAAATCTTTTGTATGAAATCCGCTTGATTCACATGAACCGATCCATCCTCCTTCCAGTCAAGTGTATAACCAAGGTGTTGCGACGGTTTCTCCTTGACCTTGATAGTGTAAACCTTGCGAATATCATCCAGCAGTTTCAAAATAGAACCCCGATCCTTGCCTACCACAAGCCCATCATCCACGTGCATATGTAGGAATAGCGACCGATCCTTATCGTAAAATAGCGATTCGTCTAGCGGCGAAGATTCCAATCCTAGCGAGGTAAGAGTCCCGACCAAATGTTTACGCCATTGACGAGGGGCCTGCTTCGTACCGTATAAGGATTTATTCAACTTCCACACCCAGTCCTCCTTGCCAGCTTCTTCAAACCCCTCCACTTGCGAAACATAGACAGGAGCGTCTATTTCCCCGTACAAAAACGCCGTTTCCACGTCAAATTGGAAGACATACCACGATCTATTAACCGCCACCGTGAGTAATAATTTGAAAGATTCGTTCCTCGCCACAGACGCATATGTATCGAAATAGTGTAGCATGTGTACTTGATGATTTCCAAAACACACCCACCTAGCCTTGAATCAAAGCAGTTCACCGAATTCATTCTTCTTCCGACCCAGAAGCCACATACCCCCTATAACTTTATCATCACCCGGAGGAGGGACCAGGGTGCCAGTATTCTTCAAAGCCAACGAGTTATATTCCTTTGCCATAGCTTCTTTCCAACCCATATGTTCGTCAATACTTGATAAAGCCTCTTTGATTGTGACAGTTTCGGTTAAATATAGAGTATCGGGAAAATCGAAATGAAGTAAAAGGAGTTCTTCAGGAGGATCATCAACAGCTGGTGCAACCATGTTCAATTCAGCAGGCCTATTACCGCCTCGTCGTCGCGATCCAGAGATAATGTTCCTTGGGGCGTTGATAAACGCACTCCCTCCCCCTCCCCGCACGCCCACGCCCACGCCCCTCCAAAAGGGGCGTGCAATTGAACCCGCCCCTCCAGGAGGGGCGGGTTCTTCTGCACGCCCCTCCTGGAGGGGCGGGTGGGCTTGCATGCCAGCCAAGAACCAAGATAGCTTGGTTCTTGACTAGCGGGTATGATTACGTGAGCAAAACATTATAGATAGTTGGACCAATCTACATAGATAGTTGGACTACAAGCTAAGTATCCAAGAACTGTGTCTGGAGAGTTAGAGTTGTGACACTACATAACATCGTGCCAGATCCTGCTCAGGTTTTCCAGCCTTGATCCGAGATAAGAGGCAGTATTTTCCCATTTGTGGCGCGGAATCGATGAAAGATGTGAAGAGGGGGTTGAGACGAGGCCCGCGGGAGGAGGCGAGGAAAACTCAGCGATGGGCCGTGGCTGTGCAATGAATTTGTAGAGATTGGGGCGGAGGTCAACTAGATGGGGGGAAGCCGATCACAGCATTTACAAAGCTGGTTGGTGACCCGGTCACCACTGCACGGGGGGAGCGCCCCGCTGGAAAGATATAAGCTCATCAGACCAGGCTTAGGGAAGTTCCGAAGTGGGATGGCCAACAGACAGACTTGACCAAGAACCACACTTTCACATCAACCACTAGGGATACAAGATCCCCTAATAATAGAATAATATATCGAGAGATCATTGACCAGGACAGAATGCATGCCCCTCCGCCAGATTACAGTGTGGTTGACCCACAATTTGCTGAGCGTTGTCGTTATTCATTCCATCCAATCCTCCAAGGAAGATATAACCAGCAACAACGGCATCCATTAACCAACCCAAACAAGCCCAGCTCCTTTAGACGAACTCTCAGCAGCTCGCAATCCTTAATGATCCATCCCAACCAATCACCCAATCCTCGACACACCATCTCAAACGGCCCACGACTCAGTCAGCATCAAAGACTGGGACGTTTGGTCATAGGATCGGGGAAAGCCTCGGCCTTAAATAGCCCTCTCAACCAAACCCCAGCCTCTCTGCTCTTGTGTACCAATCCTTCTTCCGGCGAAGACAAATTAGTTATCTTGGCCAGATATGATACTGTGCTCTTGATCAACGATAGTGCTTCGATGAGCCAACAGAATCGTTGGAACGAGGCCGCCGTCGCTGTCGCTGGCTTAGCTGACCAGTTCATTGGGAGGAAACCCTCCTGATGGGCTGGATTCAAATCCATCCAAGAACCAAGCTATCTTGGTTCTTGGCTGGCATGCAAGCCCACCCGCCCCTCCAGGAGGGGCGGGTTCTTCTGCACGCCCCTCGGAAGCATGTTTTTTTCAGAGGGGCGTGGGCGTGGGCGTGGGGGAGGGAGTGCGTTTATCAACGCCCTGTTCCTTGAGTCAACATCACCAACAATTTCCTTAGCAGGTGGTTTGTCCGCTGGGATCATCTTGTATTGATCCTTGACCCGAGTGTGCGAGGTCTGGGAAGTAGCATCCGTTGATGCTGACCGATCATTCGATGATTCTGGACCCGAAGTTCTAGCGCATCCAATGTCGTTTGATGAATCAATTGTCGTGACAGGGGAAGATGCATCCGAACGATCCAATTCCATCGGGGAGGGAGATGAGGGCGTGTGAGAGTGAGCAGGTTTGGACGGAATGGTTTGCGTCAAAACACGATCAGCCACGTCTTCTTCCGCTGCTTCAGTTTGAGACACAGAAACAAGTTTGGTGGGTTTGACATGAAGGATCGCGCGATCAGACGAGAAATTTGTTGAAACTGAGACAGCTCGGGGTAAAATATCAGGCAGTTTGGTTAAAGCATCCGAGGAGTTGTATTTGAAGACCAACTTGGTAGGTGAAAAATCTTGACTTATAACTACATGACGTTTGGTGGAGTCGAAAAACCGGAGAGCATCCGAATGATCCTCATAGCCAAGACATATGAGCGGTTTGGAGGGGGCTGAGATTTTTGAAGGAGGCTTGTGCGAAACAAAGACCTTCAGGCCAAAAGGAATAAGTTTGTTGACATCCCGAATTGGTTCAATACACATATTCAGTTCTGAGAGGATGTTGACCGGAGTGGACCAGTTCAGAGCCTTTGACGGTAGAATGTTGATTAGAGTCGAAGCATATTTAGCCGCTTCATCCCAGAAATTGATTGGGACAGAGGATTGAGCCAATAGACAACGAATCTTAACCAAGAGCGTTTGATTGAACCGTTCGGCCAGGCCGTTTGTTTGAGGATTATTCGCTGGACCCGCCTCAACTCGAATTCCTAATTTTTCCAATTGAGCAAGGAAATAATTAGAATTGAATTCTCCACCACAATCGGTATGGAGTATGGCTGGACACTTACCCGTCTTGTTCGTAATTTCGTTGACATAAGACAGGATTTTTGACTCGGAATCCGATTTGTTTCTCATTAAATAGATTCAATTGAACCAAGAGTAATCGTCAATAATAACTAGAATGTACTTCATTGAGGATTTGCTGGGAGGAGAAATCTGAAGTACATCCATGTGAAGTGTTTTAAACGGTCGATCCGTAGTTGGAAGAGGATTTGTATGAGGAGACCGCTTGAGTTTGCATTGCTTGCATACCTCACAGTTTTTCGCTAACTGTCCACGGTTCTTCGGATGAATT